ATACGACATATAATTCAGTATATACTTGTTGTATTTCTCTAGAGACAGTTGAAACGCTTTCCGCGAAAACGTAGATGGCATCTTTTGGCGGGATTTTGCAATTGTGTAACAAACGTCAATGAATCGAACTTGCAACAGAAATGTCTGGATTAAATTGGATGTTGAGAGTATTAGGAAATAGACTAATAAGATCTAACGCGCCTGCGTGGCAGCCGCCACGGACTAACCAAGTCGAGAATCCAAACTTACTTAGGAGAGCAGGCCAAATCCTTTAACGATTTCTGTATCTCGTCTGGTTGTTCGTGCGACGGCAACGATATTCCTACTGAGAAATTTCTACGTTCTACGAGAATAAAAATATATCACAATTTACTTTCACCTTTCTTCTTTTTTTCTTTTTTTTCTTTCTTCGCAGACTACGTGTACAATCCGAAGGAGGCGAGAATGCGGAAGGCGATGCGCGAACAGAGCCGCGAGCTGTCCAGACGATCGATCTTGCAGAGCGCGATCGCTCGGGCGGGCGTGATCGCGAACCCATCGGCCGGCTTCCTGGATCATCATCAGCACCGTTTCGGTTGCATGTCCACGGCGAATCTGCCGATGAACTCCACGTCCGTGGAGCCGGACCGGGTCCCGGAACCGTGGTTCCAGTCGACGTCGCGCCCCAAGCCGATTCACTCGCCCCGTATGACCCCGAACGATTGGTACGTCGGCAACGTGGCCGATCCTATCGAGAGACTGCAGATAATGGGCGCGATGGCCCATCAGCGTGGCCTCGACAAATGCAAGGATGCGATGAGAAACCAGGCTGTGGCCACCGTTGCTGCTGAATGCGGTGCAACTACGTTCTCCAACAACGGATACACCGTCGACTTCGCCGACGTTAACCGGGAAAGGGAGCTACGCCGCCAGGAGAGTATGGAGTACAGCGAATTCCCCGATGGCCAGAAGTGGCATCCTTATCAGGTAGGGAAGGAGAAACTACACGGTTTGGAATGCTTCGACCAACGAAAGATTCTTCCTTATTTCACCCTCAAAATATGATATATTTTTGTTGAGGACGATTATCTTTGGCAAGTTTCTATAAATTTCTATCTGTAAATCATTTATTTCTATAAATTTCTATCTGTAAATTCTATAAATTTCTATCAATCTATCTATAAATTCACTAAACTTTTATAAACTTCTATAAATCTATCTATAAATCATTTATATTTCTACAAATCCTATATCTATAAATTCTTCTAAATTTTTATAAACTTCTGTAAATCTATCTAAAATCTATCTAAATTATCATTTATTTTTATAAGTCCTATATCTATAAATTCTTCTATAAATTTCTATAAATTTCTATAAATTTCTATAAATCTATTTACATCATTTAAATTTCTATAAATCTATCTATAAATTCTCTAAATTTTTATAAACTTCTATAAATCTATCTAAATCATTTATTTGTATAAATCCTATATCTATAAATTCTTCTATAAATTTCTATAAATTTCTATAAATCTATTTACAAATCATTCATATATACAAATATATCTATAAATTCTTCTATAAATTTATCTATAAATCTATCTGTAAATCATTTATTTCTATAAATCAATCTATAAATTCTTCTATAAATTTCTACAAATCTGTCTATAAATCATTTATTTCTACAAATTCTATATCTATAAATTCTTCTATAAATTTCTATAAATCTATCGATAAATTCTTCAAATTTCTATAAACTTCTATAAATCTATCTATAAATCTATTTACAAATCATTTATATATACAAATCTATCTATAAATTCTTCTATAAATTTCTATAAATCTATCTACAAATCATTTATTTATACAAATCTGTCTGTAAATTCTATAAATTTCTATAAACTTCTATAAATTTATCTACAAATCATTTATTTCTATAAATCTGTGTATAAATTCTATAAATTTCTATATAATTTAATAATATAAATTTCTATAAATTTCTATATAATTTAATAATATAAATTTCTATAAATTTATATAAATTTATAGAATTCATAAATTTATATAAATTCTATATCTATCAATTCTTCTATAAATTTTTACAAATCTGTCTATAAATCATTTATTTCTACAAATCCTATATCTATAAATTCTCTAAATTTTTATAAACTTCTATAAATCTATCTAAATCATTTATTTATACAAATCCTATATCTATAAATTCTTGTATAAATTTCTATAAATCTGTATATAAATCATTTGTTTCTACAAATATATTCATAAATTCTTCTATAAATTTCTACAAATCTGTCTATAAATCATTTATTTCTA